CAACAAAAATTGTATTATTTAATTCCCGTAATCGATGAGGATTCGGCTACGGGAATATTTACGGCGTAGGACGTGACTACGGCGTAGCAGGGATGTGACCTAAAAAGGAACAAAATCTTGTTTGCAGACATGTTTGCCTCGGTTTGTTCTTGCCCTTGTCAGTTTTGCACTTATTTTAATACTGGTCTGTGTAAAAATATATAATATTAATTTTTGTAGGTTTTGTAACGATATCATTGCTGATTTCCTCGTTGTTCGACTGATCGCAAATACGACTACCTTCCCATGTTCAATTCCCGGATCGGACTAAGTATAGGGGTTATTCTATAAATCTCAGTAATAAATAGCATGAAATTTCGCATTATGCCCGTTGCATTGCAGTTTTTTAAGGGGGGATAATCATCGAGTAACTTCTCCCGCCTGGGTGAGGCGGGAGGGAGTGTCAGAGTCTTACTGACTAAAAATCACCCCGTTCCTATTCCTGCCCTTCGAGCCGGAGCCCCGGCAACCCGTTAAGTCCTCCGCGGCTCTGAATCGACATTGCTAGAGTATACGGAATAACCGCATATAGGCGGTTCGCATCGCCTGACGCGGTTGCCATAGCGTCTGTATCGTAGTTGGATATATGTAGAATTGTAAAAGCGACCAACCGCAGGATGCAGCTAGCCGCGCGGTTGGCCGCTAGTGCATAAGGGAGCTAAGTCAATAAAGATTTTACCACCTCATAATTACTTTATGTACTTAATTGCCGATGTGGAACGTATTATTTGTATTCGAAGTTGGAACATGCAACGGCGGCCTCTAGCGGAGTATTAAGTAATTAACATGCACTCTGTCGAGGCGATGTTGAGGCCGCACTAAATAGGACAGAACCGCCGGAAATTGTTGTATGAATGTTTACCAATATTACGTAAAGCTTGTGAATTGTGTCGTGTTCGTGATAATAGAGGGTAATTAAAAGTATAAGATTTTGTTTTTAAACGTGCGTCTGATTGTTCAGGGTTTGGTACAAGTATAGGTATAACTGTTACCAACGTATAAACCTCTTTATTCTCATCCCATAGTACTTTTTATTTTTTTTGGGCTCGCTGCCATTGCAGCGGTAAGTCCCCTCTTTGAGGAGTGGCTTGAGAGACGCTACGGCGTCCTCACCTACCGCCTGACGCAGGTCCTCACCGGACATAGAAGTTCGGGAGGTACCTGTTTCTGATGGGGCGGGAGGAAACGACCGGGTGTCATCACTGCGAGGACCGCCCTGAGGACACGGCGGAACACACTGGGGGAATGCCCTGCGTGGGCTGAGCACCGCCGTGCTCTCAGGGAAGTATCGGCGATGGTGACCTCTCGCGTCCGGGCCTTGAGCGGGCGAGGGGGACTGGGATGCCGTTTCCTCCTTTTGCGAAGCAGTTATGCTAGCTAAGGAGGAGGCGGGACGCGTGGGGCAGCGAAGCGCTGCCTCCTCGCAACCCAGCCATCGCGAAGGACACATCGGACGTCGGGGATCGCGAGTCGATCTTCGGCCACCGTAAGCGCGGGCCTGCCGACGGCGAGCGTGGGTGGCTCCCCGTCCGACCAGAAACAGACCCAAGCGTACGGCGCGTTGCACGCGCGCCTCAAAGAGCCATCAGACCACCAAAGATAGGGCCCAACAGGGCCGATGCCGATTAGGAGTCGCGGAGAACCTAACGGGTAACCGGGGCTCCGGCTCGACGTGCAGAAGGAACGGAGTGGTTTTTAGTCAGTAAGAGTCTGACACTCCCTCCCGTCTCACCCAGGTGGGAGCAGTCATTCGATGATTTTTCCCCCTTAAAAAAAATAGTACTTTTTTTAAGTGTGGAAGAGCCATGCTTCTGCACGAATGGGCCGGCTCGAGTAGTGATACCACACCTCACAGGAAACAGACATGAAACAACGCTTGTTTTATTTCGTCGGGTGAGTGAGGATACCAGAGGCCCAATTACCGGGGGGTATTGGTATTGAGATTGGGAGGAGGCTCCCCAATCCCTGAATCCCCTTTTGGGGCCTTTTGGCCGGTAGCGCACTTGTAACGCCTCCGGTGTTGCGGGTGTCCATGGGCGGCGCCGATTGCTTACCATTAGGTGATCCATCTGCTCGTTTACCGGCTTATACCGTACCAGAAAAAACCTACATTTTTGGTTTTTCTCAACACAATAAGGAAAGTAAGATGAATTCTCAGTTAAGTGTTGATTTGATACATAACATAACTTGTGTATCCTTCTGGATTTTAATTGCTTTAATAAATACAATAAAAATATCTTGATCTGCTTAGATCAGTGTTTCGGTCGACTGGGGTTAATAACTCTTCGTTTTAAATTAAACTTAGTAGTAAGACGAAAATATTTAATTTAAAAGTAAGTATTTTTAGCAAATGCAAGTTGGCGATGGAAAGGTGGAGGCCTCTGTCCAGCAGTGGACGAAAACAGGCTGATGATGATAATTTAGTTAGAAATAAAAGAAATCAATTTGGTCCTCAAAGTAATTTATTGCGTTATAATAATTTACATCGATACACAGTCAATGCAATTAAACCAGTGAATGTAGATTTATCAACTGGCACCACAACACACCCAACAAATACAAAGGACCTTTTTTGTTTTTTTGTGCACAGACACATTATTTTAGCGATGATTTACAAAATTGGGTACTCGCAAACTAGTTGATTCCAATACTTTTTTCGAACTGTCAAAAACTACAGTTTTCTATGAATTTTGTACGAGATTGTGTATTGTGACGTCACGTTTTTTAGCGTCAAACATCATACTTATTTCTTAAAAATTTGCTGGAAAAATACTAAAATTAAGTTGGTCATAAAATCAATTAACGAAATAATACATTTTTTATTAAAAAAAATACCCAATTAGTTGCGTAATTACACTTCTTTTCTTTTTCTTTTACAACCTTCTTCTAATACTAACAAACATAAAAAATATCAAAATCGGTTTAGTCATTCCTGAATTTTGAGCTTAGTAACTTAGTACTTACGATTCATTCTGATGTTAAAATTAGAACGAACTAAAATTTAAACTTAAGATTTAGCACAGATCTAGCGAAAGGCGGATCTTGCTTAAAAGACGACTTTAAAAACATACAAATAAAGATGAAAATAATTACACCTCGATTATTTCTCTCACACTTTCTTCAATACCATCGCAAAAATAATTTTATCTGCGAAATTCTACTCTATTGCTACTAAGAAATGGTTAATATTGAGATTAGCATAGTATAGTATAAATTAAGCGAGCCGTTATTAGGGATCAATTTTAACAAAGGATACGCGTCAATATTGTTTACTCAACCACATGGTGCTGTACAAAACCAGTTTATCATCTTTGCTTTGTATTTTATATTTCCGTACTTGCGACGGTGATTTTATACTGGTTCTGTGTAGCTTGAATTGTAGCTGTGAAACAACCTAAATTAATTGAAAAATATTTTATACGGTTTACGTCAACTATTAGACAAAAATTGTAGTATTTCACAGCATAGGCCTTAGTACGAGTTTGTTTTACGTTTAGAGTAATCGAAACGAGTACGCGTTCGGCGCTGTGATTGGTTGGTTCATTGGTGCCGGCCAATCAGAGTGCCGAACGCATACTCGTTTCGAACACTTTAAACATAAATCGAACTCGTACTAAGGCCTTAAGTTCACGTAAATAAGCTGTATTCTGCTTCTATAAATGCAGATTTTTTTTATACAATATACAGAGTGGAATTTCGTAATGTCATCTGAAGAAACTCTTAATACTTTAAGTGCTTTAACCATTGGTTCAACCATTGAATTTATAATTTCATTGTTTTATTCATACAACTTGAAGAAATTTCATCCTTATTGACCCTAACGATCGATGCAATACAAGTACTGGATGCAACTATTACAGATTTTAGTCGGTTCGACAACCAAGGGAGGCAAGCAATTTTTAAAAAATCTTTGAATGCCTGTATTGTAACTTTCGTGAGACATACTAAATAAATTATTATGTTTTCGGCTTACTCACGTAATAATTTGACGTGGAAGTAGCAGCGCAACAGTCGCCGCGTCGCGGGTCGCGAAATGCTCATGAATATTAGCCTCTAGCACGGCTTGAAACTAGTCGAGTTCCTCGTCAAATTATTACGTGAGTAAGCCGAAAACATAATAATCTTTGAATGCCGTTTTCTTTACTTTAAAAATAAAGGAATGCTTGCTTTCTTTGGGTACAATTTTCTATCTAAAGTATTAAGGGTACTTCACCTTCAGGTGGCATTACAAAATTCCACCCTGTATAGATACTATACAAACAAGTTTGAGGGCACCTGACCTAAAGATAAATATGTAGGTGCACTATATTGGCTTCTAAATACTACAGTTAAATTGGCTGCAAGACCTAGCCTACCGTCCACGACGCCTCAATTGGTGAATGCATGCAACCTACAAATGATGATAAGTGGATTTAAATCAGTACTGACGGAAAGTTGCCAGTCCGTCTCTCACAATTTTGATTGTTACTACGCAAAATACGAGCATTCGTATTGCAATCGTTAATTGACGAAAACATGTATATGACGTGCGATTACGTGGACAAATGGGCCTAAAGCCTCATACGGAGACGCGGCGCATCGTGCGTCCGTCGTACATTGCTCATAATAATGTTCGTGATTGCGCAGGCGATAACGCAGCCCGCTGCGGTACAGTACGGTTCACGAGTTATGAAGGATTTGAAGTTCGCGCAGAATACTGCGCAATAACGTATTTTAGGAACCAGAACGGCGACGTGATTGAGTCTAATTAAACACAATAGTTTTAATGTTTAATCAATTTATTTGCGCGTATACATGCGCGAAAGTGATTTGCGGCTAACTTCACACCCGCCATAACTCGGGAACCGTACTGTAATGTACGACAGACGCCTAACGCGCCGCGTGTCCGTAATAAAGGTCTTGGTCTTGCTAATCGGCTCTTAAATCTATAGCGATCTACTAAAACTGACACATTAAATTGCTTTTTCTATCTTATAATTACCAGTGAATAAAGTATTATAATCCAAAAACTGTTTTTTTTAATATAAACGTTATTTCATTTTGACACAATCATTGAATCAAACCCATAAGATACATCACACTTACAAAAATTAGGTAAAATAAATCTAAAGACAATAATATTTTTAAAATGATCACAACTAAACTAAAACAATTGTCATCCTTATGATTACGTAACTTAAGGAACAATACCTAATTAAAATCGTTAATAATAGACTTGGCAACACTGGCACACGTAACATGCGGGATGAATGCGCAGAGCAATTGTAGCTGCGGTACCGTGCTACAATTGCTATGCGGGCGCGCGTTTGTTACTATATTTAAATAAAAAATAAAGCAGCGCGGCAGCCACGCTGCTGTCAGGCGGCATTTTGGGGCTCCCATGAAGGCGCTCTTAGAGTTGGAAAGCGGTGGTTTTCAGTCAGTAAGAGTTTAACATTCCTACACATCTCACCCAGGGAGGGTAGAGTAATTTGCCGCTTCCCTCCTCCCTCCCCTCAAAAAATGTTTGACTGTCAGAACCAATTCAACAAATTCGACGGTGATGGTGCGTCGAGCTCGAGCGACGAATCACATAAAGGGAGAAATCATTGAAGGAATCAGATTGCCATTTCAGAAGGTTAGCGTTAGGCGGATAGATTAAGGGCAAAAGGCAGAAGATCTTTGGAGCCCTAACCATTGATAGCCAGAACTTTCTTCCCTATACCAGACATTTAAATGAAAATAAAAATTGATTTTAATAAATATATTGAAAAAGAAAACAAATTAAAATATCACTTAAAACCAAACCTCTGGTTCGATTGGACCTAAAAAAATCACGTTTATACATTTTTTCTTTTATATTATGATCTGAATACTGGACTAGTCAAATATAGGTACATTTCCACTACACATTAAATACTTTTTTTTATAGATTTTTAACATTGTTTTTTTTTTCTTTTTTTTGTGTGTGCGCTACATTTATGTAAAGGTAAAGAGACATCCAGAGTTTAAAAAATTGATAATTATGTGCTATTTAAAAATTTTGTGTTGCTTTAAACAAAGAACATGCGGCTGAATTGCAGCATCTTGTCGAGAACATGAAGCCGCTTTGGTTTACGTTCCAGTTCTCGATTATCGAATTTTTCGCCACTGAAAGGAAGAAAATGAAATCGTTAATATGACATCTTCATGATCCATATTAAGATATGGCAATAGGCTCACCCCCTATTACATGGGACTCATAACATAAATAGTGAAAAGTGGGTGTTACATTGTACAGTGGTGTAACATGCACCTCTGCCTACCCGTTCAGGGATAAAAGGCGTGATGTTATGTTATGCTTCTGATTCATAAAGTATGAAGCTGGTTTTTTTTCGATACAGAAATTATCGCATTACAGATTCCATACTAGCAGTCACAGTTATTACTTTGTGTTTTTTAGAAGACAATAATATTTTTTTATTGAGAAAAGACTCGCTTTCCCCGAACATCACATAACTGGCTTGCAGTAAATTCTTTGCAAACAACGAGTATCATAATTATGATTTCGACATCAAAATACAAGCACTAATAAATTTTAAATTCAAATAGCATAATAGGGTATGAAAATTAATTCCCAGGGAATGAAAATTAAAAATCTAATTAGTCCGTCAGTAAGATAATGAAAAAATATTAGACACGTATTTTTTTATTTTCTCGTATATAAAGTTACAATACTTAGATAAAATGGAGTAAAGTTTAGAAGTGGGAGTAGTATGTAGCGTATTGTGACGTCACACGATATTTCAGATTAATATATCGTCGAAAGTATATATTTAATTTTGTGAGAAAAGAAAAAATACGTGTCTAATGTTTTAAATTAATCTACCAGACGGACATTAAAAAAATATAAGCAACTACCCTATTAAAATTTGACTTTTTTAATACTGAATGTTAGGGATCGAATTTTCGGTACATGACCCTACGCACTGTACATGAAATATCAAACAAATCAAACAAATCAAACAATTTTATATCATTAAAAGATATTTAAAAAAATACGTACTGAGTAAGAGATCGGGCTCGTAGGCAGGCAAGATGGGCGTAGTAGGTCGGTGTAGGATACGACACGGATCGCATACACCGAGAATACAAGTGGCACAGGTAGTAAGTCAGTTGTTCCACTTCATCGTCAGGGATCTTGCCGTCGTTGCAGACTGTGTGGTAGCGGGTCGGACGAGCCGTGCCTTTTATAGCTTGGTGAGACACCTGGTTTAAAAATAACATAGTAAATTAGACATTCAAAGTATTATTATTTCAATTCCTTGAATGAATGGTCTAAACATCTTCATATTATAAACTTTCATGACAAATTCTAAATTAATTATCGTTTTTTTTAAGTTTTTTTTTATACGGGTCCAGCCCGCCATAGCTTCTCAAAACAGCTGCAACTCCTAAAAGCCAGGTTCTACAATAATATGAAAACACAAGAACACTAAAGTCTAGCGCGGCCCAGGGATCTGAATAACTAATTTCGGAGTTTTAGTTTGATGTTTGAATATTTTTAGTAGTACCTATATATACCTTGCACAGATACTATATTTTTGTTTGATCTACAATTTATAGGTTTATCCCTATTACATGTGACTATTACATGGTAAAAAGTGGATACTACTAATGTCCTTCAGCGAGGAAATACAGTGAAACCTGGTTAAGTGATACATCAAGGGACCTGCAATATCGTTTCACTTATAGAAGTATTCCACTTACCAAGTGTCTCAGATAGACAGGTATAAATAAATATCTGTCTCATTTACAAAGGGTTCCATTAATAGAGGTGGACTTGGAATTACGTGTGGAATTTGTGGGTAGAATAAGAATGAGTAAACAAACAATGTTATCTCAGTTAAAGAGGTTTATGCATATAAAATTAACTCAGAGTTATAGAGGTAACTATGATGATAAATCGAAAGAACAAATTCCAGTTATAGAGGTTTACCTCGTCCCACTAACAGAGGTAATTCAGTGCGAACGTGTTGGGACCTCAGCATGAGTTCCAGTTATGTAGGTTTCTCACTTATCCAGGTCCCACTTAACCAAGTTTCACTGTACTAGCGTTAAATAATTTAAGGAATATAAAAAATATATTAAGATATTTGTTACTTACTAAATAAAAGTCCAATTCAGACGCGTGCACAATATCAGTGTCGACGACTGTGCCTGGTTCCACGTTATATTGTACGTTAGGTCCATCATTGAATAGTCTGAAAACATAATATTTATTGCCAATTGCCATCATGATGACTGCCTCATTGGCCGGTCGTAAGCGCGACTGCCGGGCAAGGGGTCTCGGGTTCGATTCCCGGATCGGGCAAAGTATTACTGGGTTTTTAAATATTCTCAGTAGTAGCACGGAGTCTGGAATTGTGCCCGGTATATGGCAATAGGCTCACCCCCTATTACATGGGACTCATAACATAAATAGTGAAAAGTGGATGTACAGTGGTATAATGTGCACCTCTGCCTACCCTTTCGGGGATAAAAGGCGTGATGTTATGTTATGTTTTCTTTTCGAAACAAATATTTTAAAATAAATACACTTTAATTAATTGATATAACAATATACTCTAGATTTTCTAACAATTTTTGTATAATTAAACATCATACCTCGCTAAGATTCATAAGAAAATATAAATTTTGTCACTTCGACAAAAGCATCGAATAAACAAGTGAAACAAGTGAATTTATTTCTGCAAATAGGCTACAAGGCAGCACTTTTAAACGTAAATTTTATCAAGCGAACGAATATGTCACTGTCATATGAATTTTATCGTATCACGTGATCCATTGTGAGTATTTAAAAGAAATATTTATCTAACGAAAATAATGTATCCTATTCTTAAATAAAATAAGAATCAATTTCGTACCTCGTATGATGTCGTTTCTGCACCAACAGGAATAATACTTCAGGCTTGTTTTGCATACCTGCCATGCGCTGATAAGCATTGTGGACCGCCGCAAGTTCACTGTTCATTACCTACAACACAACAATATTTTTAACGGTTATTTATGAAATAGTGTCGCAAACAAAATAATTTTATAATGATGATCTATAAAATGAATGGAGTTATACTTAACTAAGTAAATCGCGGGTTACTCACGGGAATATACTGAGAAAAGCTCTACTAGTTTCGAACCACAGAGGGGTTCTTCCTCATGAGCAGCGTGCGCGGTCGCAGCGACGTCGCGCAGCTCACTCTTTTCTCAGCATATTCACGTGAGCAACCCGCGATTTTACTTAATTTAGTATGTCTCACGATAGTTATTATAAAAACGGAATTATACTTTTTATTATTGTGACAAGCCCGCCACAACATCACAAAACCGCTGTAACTCCTGTAACCCAAGATCTACAGTAGATAAAAACCATGAAAACATCAGAACATTGAAGTCCAGCGCGTCCCAGGTACATGAATATCTGTCTTGGATGCCGCAACGAAATAAAACAGAAGATATAATTTAAACTGTCAAACACCAAGCGGTCACCGGTGACCGCAACCTATTGTTCTATAATTGTGTCTATAATGAAGGTACTTGACGAGTTAAGGGAGAAAAAAATGATAGTTTCCATCTGTGTTGGTGAATTTAATATGGGAGACAGAATGACTTAAGCCTAAGCTACACTACGGCCTTTGAGAAACCCGGCGTGAAACAGCACTAGCGTTGTTTCGCCGTGTAAGTGAGGTTTTTGGTGACACAATCCTTCCTCAACCATCTCCAATTCGTACCTCAAATCCCTAACAACACCCAAAATGCCGGCTGTAGTGTATATGTATAAGTGTGTAATCAATTAATCATTACTGACTGCCTCATTGGCCGAGTGGTCGCAAGTGCGACTGCCGGGCAAGGGGTCTCGAGTTCGATTCCCGGGTCGGGCAAAGTATTACTGGTTTTTTATAAAATTCTCAGTAGTAGCACGGAGTTTGGAATTGTGCCCGGTATATGGCAATAGGCTCACCCCCTATTACATGGGACTCATAACATAAATAGTGAAAAGTGGGTGTTACATTGTACAGTGCCATAATGTACACCTCTGCCTACCCCTTCGGGGATAAAAGGCGTGATGTTATGTTATGTTAATCATTAATATAATATACAATCAATGTATTATTCAATAAAGGACAGTAATATTTGGACATCCAAGACTATCATTCGATCTTACACGGCAATGCACTTGTAACTCCTCCGGTATTAAGTGTCCATGGGCGGCGCCGATTGCTTACTATCAGGCGATCCGTCTACTCGTTTGCTATCCCTATCCTATAAAATATATTTATTCACTATGTACATACTACTATCTTTACAGGAACTAATATCTAATGCGATAGGACATGTGCGCTTTATAATTTGAGAATTCATAATCTTACCAATTATTATAAAAGCAAAAGTTTGTAAGTGAGCTAGCATGTGTTACTGTGTTTGTTACTTAATCACGTCAAAACGGCTGAAGGGATCGGGATGAAATTTGGCACAGGGTTAAATTATAGTCTGGAATAACACATAGGATACATTTTATGCCACGAAAATGCGGACGAAGCCGCTAGGAGAAACTAGTATTTATAATTACCTGTTTAAACTGTCCTTCAGATACACCGTCACGGAATACAAATATCTTCTTTGGCAATCTGCCTTGATTGCGCTCCTTGTATATCTTCAGATGATCGAACATCATGTCTTCGAACTCCACGATCATCTCTTTCTGTTAATATAAATTATAAATTAAGTACGTTACGGGAAACTGGATTTTAAATACAGCAGTTTAGAGTGCACATTTACAAAATTGACTGTTTCGTTGGCCGAGTGGTCGCAAGTGCGACTGCCGGACAAGGGGTCTCGGGTTCGATTCCCGGGTCGGGCAAAGTATTACTGGTTTTGTAAAAACCTCAGTAATACCACGGAGTCTGGAAATGGGTCCGGTATATATGGCAATAGGCTCACCCCCTATTACATGGGACTCATAACATAAATAGTGAAAAGTGGGTGTTCATACATTGACAGTGGCATTAAGTGCCGTAATGTGCAATTCTGCCTACCCCTTCGGGGATAAAAGGCGTGATGTTATGTTATTTACAAAATTCGGTTCATTTAAAATGCTTTTAAGTAATTGATTGGTAGTGGTCATACGACCTAACATGTAATTAAAAAAATTTTCGATTTTCAACTTTATTGTTTTGTAACAAAGTAGGTAGAGTACGTTGCCCTGCTTCGATAAGATCAAACAAATAAATAAGTCAGTATGGTGCACTTACCTTTGGAGTTTGTATACTTAATTCGATATTATAGATATAGCATTTCGCATCTAAAGAGGCAGTCACCGCAGCAATACTAGGTACATTCGACTGAAAACAAAAGTGATTAATTATTATTAACTTTGCAAAATATATTATATACTAACGAAACTTTACACTCTTATTTTCTCATGGAAACAAACACTGTCGAAAATGTTTTGACTTGAATTATCGCATGACGTCACTTTTGTGTACTCTTTGTACTCAAAATGGCGTAGCATTCCTAAACTTTCGATTCATTTTATCGAAGTATCGTTGTCTTATACGACAAAATAAAAAATACGTGTCTAACATTTTTTCAATAGGTACCTAACTAACGGACTAATTAGATTTTTAAATTTCAAAATCCTGTCATCATCCCTATTCTTTTAATTATATTTCATTTTAAGGAAAAAAAGGGCTTATAATTATTATTTATTTAATTTAGATAAAATCGATTTGTCTGTCGATTTGTTTGTCTTCCACGGAGAAGAATGAATAAAATTATTCCAAAAACTATTTTATTTGATGAGTTTGCTGATAATACATTTGTGTATAATTTCATACCTGATCTGGTGAGGGATGAGTAACGTCAGCCCCTACGATCATGACTGGAGCGTCCTTTAAACATTTTGGCATCGCCAGCGAGTCGATAGCTTGGTTAATACCCATCAGTTTGGAGTTCACCTGATATTAAGAACATAAGTTAGGTACGGTAGGTAGGTAGGTAGGTTTTGTATATATGTTGTAATAGATAATTATCAAAACAAATATTACGTAGTAATTTTTAGCAATGATGGGATTAGTCAGTGTCATTTGGAAGGCGTACGAATCAACTGCGCAGAAGCCGTTTAGACAACTTTAATCTAAATACAATGGGACACAATTGGGTTCGATTCCCGGGTCGGGCAAAGTATTACTGGATATTTTAAAAATTCTCAGTAGTAGCACGGAGTCTGGAACTGTGCCCGGTATATGGCAATAGGCTCACCCCATATTACATGGGACTCATAACATAAATAGTGAAGTGGGTGTTACATTGTACAGTAGCCTAATGTGCACCTCTGCCAACCCCTTCGAGGATAAAAGGCGTGATGTTATGTTATATGATGTTATATAATAATCTGGTGACTATCCCTGTATGAACTATGGAAACGACCCAAAGGACAGTCCCCGATTAGTGTAAAACTATTGTAGATAATGGAAAAGGCAGGGCTGTGGTTGGGTGGTTGTAGACTGGTGAATTGGGAACTATGGATGACTATTACGTAGTAAATTATTACAATGTCCACATTGGTTGAGTTGCACGTCGGGTTAGGATAATAAATTCTCTTTAATAGTACTTAGCCAAAGGGTCTATTACATGAGACTCATAATAACAAATGAAAGTAAGTTTTAACATGAACACCTTTGCCTGTCTTGGGATTAAAAAATGTGAAATAATGTGTCACCTCAACTCAAAGTTTAGAATATTTTAAACAAAATATTAGTTAAACGTTAAACGCCATTGGGGTCACTGGTGATCCACGTTAGCGGAGGATTTATCTTAACAGTTTTCTGTTGGTAGTCAAAACCTTAACAACTATACTCGTTATTTTAATTCGATTCCAGAGTTGATAATTTCAGTATTGCAACGTTATGACAAGTACTAAATAGTGACGTTGCGAAATTATTCGATATGGAAATGGAATACTTCTGGATCGATTCTTCTCGTTTATAATTTTACTCTCGTAAACTAAGTATATCAGGAAATTAAATATTTCTGAACCGATAATTAAGTTTTGACGATTAATAAACGATCTGAGACTTTTCTTTTATAATTGTGTGTGAAATAAATAAAAAAATGTAATCATGAAGGAGCACGACAAATAAAAAAGATAGATGTATTATGGTAATAAGTTATTCTATAAATTGTCGCCGTCATCGCTATCGCTATCCTGTCACTTTCTGTAACATTTATTATAAAAAACACACACTGATTGTTTATCGATTTTTGTGTTCATCACTACACTATTATATGTGGTATCATTATTTCACAAAATGACAGTAGCTATTTTCAAATTTGAAATCTAATTAAAATTCTGACTATATACAAATAATCGTGAAAGAAATGACGATGAATGACTTATACATTTACTAACCCGGCTCCCGGCTCGACCGGAGTAATACCACAGCCTCACAGAAAACCGACGTGAAACAACGCTTGCGTTGGGTTTCATGTGAGTGAGGTTACGGAGGCCCAATTACCCGCCTCCCCAGTCTTCCCAATCCCCGAAACCTCCACAATCCTCAAATTCCCAATTCTCAAAAGGCCGGTATCGCACTTGTAATGCCTTGGTGTTTCAGGTGTCCATGGGCGGCGCCGATTGCTTACCATCAGGTGAGTCCGTCTGCTCGTTTATCGGGTTATGCCATAAAAAAATGAAGATGAGAGATAATTTACCTTCAGCAGTAAGTTTTTAGCTGTCATCTGATTCATACGACGCGCCGTCATCTCTTTGATGCATTGGGTCAGAATGCCCACTTCGCGTTCCGCCAATTGCTTCACCTGTTAATATCAAAGTTAATTCAAGGTACAGAAACCAATTACAGGATTATTTTACTACAATTCCATTACCATTACCATTTTATTTACTTATTTAATTAAGTATACCAACAGCTTCTGTATACATAGTATTAAGAGATAATAAAGGTAACAATGGGTATTGGGCTTATACAGAATAATTTTCGAGAGTAAATTGATTATCTGATATTCATTTAATGATTATTCATTTCACTTCTCGACTATAGGTCTCCTTTAAATAGAAGGGATAGGTAGTTTTAAAAAATCCATAATCCCCACAAATTTTCAGGTAAGTTGGAGATAGCAGTATAAAAGGTCCAAGTTTCGAGTTTATAATTTGTAATTATAAGTTTGAGATCGTCATTCCGCCTTGAACCAGCGTGGTGGTCAACCTTTTCTGTGGGTCTTTTCTCAGCAATGGGATAGAAGAAAATATTTATTATGTTACTAGCTCTCGCCTGCATTTTTGCACGCGTTAATTATACACATAAACCTTCCTCTTGAATCACTCTATCTATTAAAGAAAACCGTATCAAAATTTATCACGTATAGTCAGAATTTTAATTAGATTCCAGATTTGACAATAGCTACTGTCATTTTGTGAAATAATGATACCACATATAATAGTATAGTGATGAACACAAAAATCGATAAACAATCAGTGTGTGTGTTTTATAATAAATGTTACAGAAAGTGACAGGATCGCGACAGCGATGACGGCGACAATTCATAAAATAACTTGTTACCATAATACATCTATCTGTTTTATTTGTCATGTTCCTTCATGATTACATTTTCTTATTTATTTCACACACAATTATAAAAGAAAAGTCTCAGACGTTAATTAATCGTCAAAACTAAATTATTGGTTCAGAAATATTTAATTTCCTGATATACTTAGTTTACGAGAGTATAATTATAAACGAGAAGAATCGATCCAGATATATTGCATTTCCATATCGAATAATTTCGCAACGTCACTATTTAGTACTTGTCATAACGTTGCAACCCTGAAATTGTCAAATCTGGAATCGAATTAAAATTCCGAGTATAGTTTTAAACCGTCGTTTTAATACACTAATGCCGGAATACTGAAACGTTACTCAATTTTAAGTCGTGCTCAAATATCGTGCCATCTCTGTCATTTTACAAAGAATTTGTAGAGATAGAACTATACTTAAGCACGACTTAAAATTGAGTAGCGTTTGAGTATTTCGACATAAGGGACATGTCAGCGAGATGTCAAGCGAATCCTGAGGATTTCACCCGACAGTTAAGGCAACAACGCGCGCCTTCTGTCTACAGCGACGTTGACGTTGCCAGACATGTCGACCGAAGTCCGGCAACGTCGCGTTAGTTCTCTCATCGTAAAGATAAGCATACATAGGGACATACAGAAAATAATATATTTTATACTACGTAGTGACGTTCGATTCCCGGGTCGGGCAAAGTATTACTGGGTTTGTAAAAACCTCAGTAGTAGCACGGAGTCTGGAAATGTGCCCGGTATATGTCAATAGGCTCACCCCCTATTACATAGGACTCATAACATAAATAGTGAAAAGTGGGTGTTACATTGTACAGTGGCATTAAATGCCATAATGTGCACCTCTGCCTACCCCTTCGGGGATAAAAGGTGTGATGTTATGTTATGTTATGACTTTTGCTTACCTTATGATAGTCATCGCGGCCTCTAGACGACACCACAATGAAGACAAAGCGCACATCACGGTACGCATTCATCAGAATGCTATGCAACATCTTCATCTTAGCGTTAACGTTGACAAACTTAGGCTTGTTTACAGCCATTCCCATCTGTCCTCCAGTACTAACGATCTGTAAAACGTATATTATATATTAGTATTCATAATATATTAGCTTCTGCCCGCGATTTTGTTGCACTCTTCTAAGGGGTTGAGGGTAGATAAAAAAAATGATGCATAATAACTGTGTTAGCCAATTTATACACAATATCAGCCATCTTTGTTGACATTTACCCAACTTACTAAGACTGACTAAGACTGCGTGACATGTGAGAGCTTGTATTTAAAAAGTATTTAGAAATAGAAACAGTTGAATATATTACCAAGTCAATCATTTGTCCATAATCGTTCCTTGGATCAGTGTCGACTGCGATGAGAGCCCACGATGTAAGTGCCTCAGGCTTCAAGAGACGGTTAGCTTGCCATTGACCTTTCCTAGATAAACAAATAATTAAAAATAAGTATATAATATTATTGTATAAACTAAAATTACACTATGTCTTACGTCCTACTCACGTAACTTGCCGCAACGATGTGGTTATGAGCCCCTAGTGTTACTTGAAATTGGTTGAGCTACCTCGTCAAGCAGTGCCATCAATGAGACGTAAAAGTTTGTAAATTATTAAAATGAGCTGTCTCATTAGCAGTGGTCATGAACGATTCGTTGATGACAAAGCATTATTGCGAGCAGGAATCAAATCCGCAACACATTACGCAGCATCTGCTCGCACAGCCATCTCCAATCTTGCAGTTTTATTTTATTACTTTACTAGTTACTTTCACCCGCCCTACTCAGTACCCATTGATATCGTAGCGTGATGTTTTAGCCTATAGCCTTCCTCGATAAATGGACTATCCAACACAAAAATAATTGTTTAAATCGGACCAGTAGTTCCTGAGATTAGAGCGTTCAAACAAACAAACAAAAAAACAAACTTCCGCTTTATATAATAGTATAAGATTAACGTATAGATTACAATGGTTACATACCTAGGAGTGACTTTTCCGTTTCCAATCTCCAAAACAGGAGGCTCCAGTACTTTAGCTTTAACAGTGTAAAACTTCTCCGAAATCTCCAATCCGAACCTTTTGAAATCTCTGTTTTGCGAGTACTTCATCTAAGGAAAACGGATTAATTATACGGTTTTTATTATTATTATTTTAATGTTTAATGCACAAAGCCTACATGGACGGACTTAATGCCTAAAGCTTCAAGCTTCCTTGTGCGTACTGCTTAGGAGTGGAATTCTTTGCTAGAGTCTGTATTTTCCTAAAGAGACCTGTGTGTCTTCAAGGCCCGAGTGACTAGGTTGCTTAAAGGACGACGTGCTCCATCGTAGACCGCATCATCGCTTAGAACCACGCTAGATAGTCGTCAAACGTCGGTCCATCAAATATAAAAAAACTAAATTCTTTCCTACACTACTTACTGTTACAAAAATTGAGAATATTTATTCTACTTACATTAGAAATCACTTCTTTGATTTTCTTCAAACGCTCATCAGGAGGTGTAGCTGCTTCCTTAACCATTTTTGATATTTGTTGGTCATTCAACTGCCTTGTCAATGCCTAAAAATATTACATTTGTTTTCATAAATAACCTTTGGAAACAATTTATTGAAGGTTGAGGATGAACAAGCTGTGGCAAAATTTGTGTTACCCTAATGCGACAAAATATTGTTTTTTTTTTTATGGGACAAGCTCATAATCGAGCAGACGGATCACCTGATGGTACGCAATCGACATCGCCCATGGACACCTGGAACACCAGAGGCGTTACCGGCGTTACAAGTGCGTTACCGGCCTTTTGGGGATTAGGAATTTAAGAATTGTTGGGGATTCAGGCATTTGGGGAGATTATCGATTTTCTGTGAGGCCGTGGTATCAGTACAGTCGAGCTGGCCCATTCGTGCCGAAGCATGGCTCCCCCACACTTAAATATACATATCCGCGGTATTTGTGTTATAATATTTATCTTGTAAGACCAGTTAAGTTGGAGCTATACATGATGTTACTAAAATGACTGTGTTTTATGTATGGTATGAGTACCCATGCAGAAGTTTCAACACATCATATTTATGTTTCAATAGCTACACGTTTAATAAAATAACTTACCTGACCCTCAGCGACATGTAAGAGTTCGATGGGGAAGTAAATGCATCTGTCCTTGTTACCGACCCACAGGCAATTAAGTCTTGGATACCGCAGTCTAAAAGAAAATACAAATAATGTTTTTAGATATTCTATTTGGATAGATTGGACAGTACAAAAAACTATCTACCTACATATTTCAGATGTGTATTTGAGAGGCGAATAGGTATTAGTAGTTCCAATACAGTTTCAACGCCAAAATGTCACATCTTATTTACAAAAGATTAAACCAGTGACTGTATAATCGGAAAATTATGGTACCTTATACCTTTAAATTGCGGTATGACGTCATACCGATAAATAAAGGGTACCGCTTTATTTCGGTACCGATATCGCAACGGTATAGCCTTAATTTCGGTATACTTATTTTATACCGGTACCGTATCGTTATATATTAACGGCTTCTAGTTCCTTCATTGAACAGAAAACTTATTGAAAATAACGATTAACATGCGAGAAATGACTGAGCAAAGATGTACTATTTTCAAGTTATAACGGGATTCTTATTCATGAGCAGCGTGCGCGGTGCGGTGACGTCACGTAGTACAAGATGTCGTTCATGTGAGTAAGTCGTTATTTCCAATAATTTAATATGTCTCACGATAGTGGTTATTCAATTTTCTATAATTCTTTTATAAACTACGTTTTAAAAACTGATTTTAACCCTCCTTTTTTTTTTAAATCGGTTAAAAATTACATTTATTTTGCAGAACATTCTACATAATATTAAACCTTAATGATTACAGATAAAATACTAATATCGTCTACTCACCTATAATTTTTGTCTTTCGCGAAATATTCCGCGACGGATGTCTTTCGTGTGCGTCCGTCTGATTCCGTAATAGTGAAGACAAGCTCATTGGGTGGACCCACCAGACCATTACAGATGAACTCCCGACGATGACCAGCTGAGGGCGTGTTACCGACCAACGTCGCAACCACCTTGGTATTGAAAACAATATGTTCAACAATATGAAATAATCATGCACGGGAAAATACAAAATTTTAATTTTACTGACAAACAAATATTATTTTTTTGTTTGTCAGTAAAAGTTCAAACAAAATAATTATTTTTTCTTATAAAAGAATATTGTAGAAAAGTCATCGGGGAAATAAAGATAAGCAAACGCTTTAACTCATTGAGTACCATCATTATAAACACATTTAAAGAACAATAGGTTGCGGTCACCGGTGTCGTCGCAGTGTTTGACAGTTTAAACCTTTAGACTTGGCGGGCCAATTACAAAACTAATATCTAACAAGCACCGGGGAAACATAACCAGGCATAAACACCCATTCAAGAAGGCAACGTACAATAATTCTTTGGACCAAAATTTCCTTCTTGAAATATTAATCCATGTCAAACACACGGTAGGCTGAATTTTTTGTTTATGTACAAAAATAGTTCTGTTCGTATATATATGTTTTTTTAGGGGGGGGGGGGGAATATTCAAAAGACTAATCCCGCCTGGGTGAGGCGGGAGGGAGTGTCAGGCTCTTACTGACTAAAAACCACCCCGTTCCTACTCCTCCACGTCGAGCCCCGGTAACCCGTTAGGTTCGTTAATGACGAAACCTCGTTTCGGAGAAATGTAATTTATTCAAAAATTATTTATAGAAATTTCGGACGAAAGGATGTTTCCCTTTAATATGGTTTACCTATTTTTGTAAGAAAACGAATTCTACAATGTCATTAAAATTTTATACGTCATACATAAAGAGCGCTAAATGTAATATATGTTGTCTGTATGTTGTTTATTTTATAATATGTGTAACTAACCTTCAATCCTTTGACGAAAAGAACGAAATAGTCATAACCACGTTGGTTTTCAAGGGGCTTAGTAGGATCCAAGTTGAAATCTTTGATCATAGCATCAAGCACGCTCTGGTGCCTTGGGAAGCCTTTATGCGCAACTGCAGAATTACAATAAATATTAAAAAACAATAAAAAACAAATTGAAAGAATGACTCATCGGAAATTGATAAGTTATTATAAAAAGTATGGTAATAAACTAAAAAGTATTTATTAATTAAAATAGAAGCATAAAAGGAGTACAGAAATCTGAACTTTCAAACAATAAGAACTGGGTTTATTTCAAATTGGCCGCTAAGGTAGTAAAATAAAAGACATTATTTTAATTTAAAGTAAAAGTCAGTTACTTACCATCTATGTTGATAAAAGATTTATTGGTAAATATCGCAGACTGGAACAATCCCGTCCACATTTCATAACCATAGCCTAAATCTATGGGACGAGATGGGCGTTTGAAAAATTGACGGCCAGCCTGCGAAGAAAAAAACAGTAAAAATATATAATAATGTCTCTTTGGTCGAATAGCCGATATTGTTAATGGATTGATTAATAATTTTGACTGCACAGTTGGCGCGGTGGCTGGGCAACCGAGTGCCGCGGAACGTGTCGCGGGTTCGATTCCCGCAAGGAACAACTCTTTGTGTGATCCAGAAATTGTTGTTCCGGGTCTGGGTATCATGTGTATGTGAACTTGTATGTTTGTAAACGCACCCACCATGCAGGAGAAAACCCAAGTGTGGGGCAACGTTTTAAAAAAAATATTATGGTATTGGTGATATACGGTATGTACGCGGTAGCGTGTCAAGCCAAGTTCAAGAAAGAGAACTGGCGAGCCGCACTGTTTGTTATTTATAACTGCACAATGAGTATTTAGATCTACCTAAGTCTGTACAAGCATGTTATTTTAAAATCATGATAAAATATGGCAACTTTATCAAAAGCCTCTATAAAATTACTGTCATATCATAATAATATGTTAAGTTGTACAAGTACCTTAACGTAAGACTCCAACGCACCCTGGCGTAAGATGACATCAATACATTGGATCTCCTCAGTGGGATGGCATAGAGACGAAGCACGACTTTTCATGTAACTGTTAAAAAAACATATATTTGAAAAAAAAAAACATTACTCCTTCCGCTTTGAATGAGACGTGAGGGAGAGTCGAAACTCTCACTGACTAAAATCCACCCCGTTCTTACTAGTTTGAGCTAAAGTATAGATAGAGCTTCTTCACCACAATTGAATATTGGATACTTACTTTTTAATATTTTCCAAATCGACGACTCCAGTAGCTTTCAGTGAAACGTCAAAATTTATTGATCTTCCATTCTGATCTAATAACTCGACCTAAAATAAGTAAAAACATAAATAAGTAAAAATTAAATGTTACTGAATAAGGTTGCTTATTACATCAAGACACAGGTTGTGCCATCCTCTTAATAAAAAGGTTTTCTACAATCTCCAGACTTGACAGGCAAGTTGGAGATTATTGGAGTAAGTTATTTATGATGTTAGTAAAACCATATTAATGGTTAATAACTTGGTAATAAACATTGTGTTAATACCTAATTACTTACAGTGGCATGGAACCGCTCCGTCGATGTAATATTCTTAAGAGGATTCAATGAATAACAGTTTTTCATCTGATCAAATGCTATTAGTTCATTAGCGAAAAACTTATTTTTCACTTTTAAAAACACATCAGGCAACATCTTCTTTGGTTTGTCAGGCGTAACACTAACGTCATAGCGATACTGCAAAAAGAAAAGGTTATAGCTTTATTTATTTTTTTAGAATGTTAAAATATTGAAAGAAATTACAAAAAATATATATTCGCACAAATCATTTAATTCTATTTTAAGTGAAGTTATGAACCTTTTTGATGGCCTTATAATCAAACATACTTACAATTTTAAGAGCTTTAAATTCCATTTCCAAATAGTTGACCATGACTCTTATATGGGCAGCCCGAACACGATTACCGGGAATTTTGTGCGGTATCGTGTAGTGGCACATGGTAGGTTCCATGGATTTAGGACCACGTCCAGTAGGAACTGGAGCAGTTGGCGTCGGTTGCGGTATCAGATTCACAGGTGGTATTTGTGGCGCTGGCATGGTGCCTAAAGGCATGGGAGTCCATCCACGACCTTTTCCAGAGCCACTCTTGCTCCATGGTCCAGGACGAGCAGCTTGCGCAGGTTCTGGCATCTGCACCAAGACTGGAGCTGGAGCTGCTGCCGGTGATGTTGCAGGTGCAGCCTTAGGGGCCTCTGCTGGCTGTGGCACTGGCTGTGGAGCTGGCGCTTGCTGGGCTTCAACTGGTTGAACTGGTTCAGCTTTTTTCTTTTTAGGCTTCTTCTTCCTAGCGCCTGATAAGCCCAAACCTAAGCCGAATTCTTCTTCTTCAACAGGCTTCGGTGGTTCTTTGGTTACCTCAGTTGGTAGAGATTTCTCTTGTGATGGCATAGCTGCAGCCTCCGATTGAGTTTGAGATGGTGCTTCTTCTGGAGACTTGGGCTCGGGTTTACTAGCCTGCTCCTTAGAAGTCGGATCCTCTTCATCTTTCGCAGTTGATTCTGAATGTGAAGATGGTTTTCTCGTTGCTTGCAAAGCTTGTAAAGCTTGCAGTGACTTTTCCTTCTTTTCTTTTTTCTCTTTTTTCTTGCGAGCTGCTGCCGACAGATTAGAGTCGTCCTCTACTTCTACTTCTGGCACATCAGGAGAAGTTGGCTCCTCAACAGACATAGAACTCTGTGAGGGATCTTCTTCTTTCTGAACATTCTTTTTTCCGCCTTTCTTTTTTGCTGTAAAAAATATCACAATTACTAAAACAATTTGTGATAATTTCAATTAAATTAAATAGACAGACTGACATCACCTGCCTTAGTTTGTCGAAGTTATAATTATTCACTCAATATGGGCATTAGATCACAAGTAAGTAAATTAATCAAAACTAAAAAAAGAAAGCAGCACGCGAGACCATCTCGCGGTTAAACAGATATGGTTAATTGTTAATGACATATGTATTTAACTTAGATAACACAGTTCCACACTCCTCTTAATTAAAGTGGCAACTTAAGTAGGTATTAAATTCAATGATTGAAGGACAGAATCATACAACTAAAATCCGGGACTGAAATCGGTTAAGGTATAACGTTACGGTACCGGTACAAAATAAGCATACCGAAATTAAGGATATACCACGATATGCGAAATCGGTACCTAAATACTTAGATTTGATCGTCGTTGCAGGATGACAAGAATTGATTGTTTAAAGCAGGGCTGTCCAAATAAAGGCGCGCGGGCCGAATGCAGCCCGCGGCTTGTTTTCATGTGGCCCGCAACTCACGTTTTAATCTCAACATCTTCATCTTATGTGCGACAACAATAATAAAATTTAGTGTATGTTTTGTGTATAAATTTTGTGTGTGAGTAAAGAATACAATGTTAAACGTCATTATACAACGTGATAATATTTTTCTGGCCCTCCAGTATAGTTTGGACAGCCCTGGTTTAAAGGTATTAAACCATGTAAACCAGGTATTAGATTATAAAGGTTCATTGACCGGTACCAAAATGTACCTATTCCCATTTGATACTCAAAAATAACGGTACCGTATTAACATTTCGATACCGACGTAATCCTTTATTTATCGGTATGACGTCATACCGCAATTTAAAGGATCCTCAACTTGAAGTTTATTCAGTCTCTGAATAAAATATGTAAATGACCACTTAACTGTTTTGTATTATGTACCTACCTAATAATTGTTAGATATCAGGCTAAAGAAACGAAGATTAAACAAATACAAACATGTTTCAACATGAAAGATTCATTATGTTTATGTATGAATCATCACATGTGTACTAATAGGTACTAATAGGGATCAGATGTAACAACTCGGGTCATAAAATTAAATTCTTGCCCCATTTTCTCCCATGAGCCACAGATTGAGTTTCTTCAAAAAAGGTTTGGTCCTCCATGGTAAGCAATGCACTTGTGATACCTTTAATATTTCAAGTCTATGAAGTCCACCACTGATAGATTACTTTGTTGGTACTGTAAGTAGTACAAAAAAAAAGGAATAAAAAGGCTACTTCTGCCCCGGTTCAAAAGTTATGAGACCAATTGTCCTTTATTTTACCAAGGGATCAGGTAAGCAGCATACATTAAAAATGTGAATACACTTTTTGCACCTATTATGTATATTGTTGCATTTTATGGATATAGATGACATGATTTATTTATTTATTACAGTCACAACGGTTGAAAACAAAAACCAATTAAAGTAACTGGAATGATAATATCTACTGGTTATTCGTGCCTCTAACACAACAGACAATGTTTGAAAAGTAAACGATTCTCTGAGTATCTGAATTTGTTTCGGCATTTCTTTTCAGAGTAGTCAGTTCAGACCTCATCATTAGTTTAAAAAAATTACATGTTAAAGTGCTGCCTTGTAGCCTATTTGTAGAAATAAATTCTCTTGTTTCACTATCCCAAAGGATATTCAAAACTCCAAGTACTATTATAGACACCTTGACTAAAAATTCCATACATCTAAGATATTTGAACAGTTAAAACCTAAGTATATAATGTTAATGTAAAATAAAAGTTAACTATTCAATCATTTTAACTATGATGCTATTCACATCACATCATCACATGATTAATAATAAAGAGATTGCATACAACTGCAATGACTGTATGCAACTTTGATTGCACAACAATATAAGTTTTACAATCATATATGTTACGACTTTTTAACAACCTTATAATAGTATTTATTTTAAAACAATTTAAATAAAGCATTCTTTGAACTACAATATTACAAAGAGAACAATCATAAACACTATACCAACAACATTATGAACAAAATATTATTATATCATTTATGTTTATTGAATTTCCACCATAATTATTTTGACCAATAACAGGAATGGCCTCGAATTACACAGCTAGAAAGCATGAAACTCATAAAACATATTCAATTTCTACGCAACATTTTATTAACATATAAATATTATGTAGAGTTACTTACGTGGTTTCCCCATTTTGACAGGTTCTGCCTACACGTGGTAGCTGTAATATGAAACACACTGTGTAAACACAATACAACAAATTGAATAATTATTATATTTAAATATTTATATTTAATTTGTTAATCTAAGTACAGCTGTGATACTGTTGGTAGCAGATTGTAAAATGACTATGAATTATGTATGTCAAATATAGAAAGTATGTTCTAGATCGTGCGGGGAAAAATCAAGAATTCCCCTACACCAGTGTTGCCATTTTAAAATTAGTGAAATTAAAACTTGACTTCATTACGTACAAATGCATACTATTGGACAAAAAATGAATCCAATATTTATAATAATTATGTTATTAAATAAAGATATTTTAATTTTGAAGTTTTAATAAACTGATATGTGCTTAATCTAGAACAGAAAACAAATACATTTGTCTATGTTTTCCATTACGGCAATATGGATGTCACATTATCATTAACAATGCTATGTATATGCTATAGGGAGATGCTATAGGTAATATTTAGAATGTTGTAACACAATAATAAACAAGTTTGATGATATTTTATCATGCTTATTTAGTTATTATATAAATAGGTCTAATTGTTTGATATTTTAATTCACACATTGTTCTTATTTTTAGAAAGTAGATCATTAAGTTCATTGTGGAAAATTGATATTACAACGAATATTTTAAGTAGACTTCATTTGCTTTATTTAGTCTTGACATGATTTGAACCACAATAATATTTTAAAGACTAGTATTAAGTATACCTGGTCAACTACCAAAACCTTTGTAAGCTATTTGAATATTATCGTATTTCTTAAAAATCTTATATTACTACTTAATGATGAAATTTTATGAAATCAATAGCACAAAATCACAATCACTTGTTAACTACGTAACTTTCGATGCCTATATGTTGCAAAAAAGGTAAAGTACACGTCTATTGCAGTACTAGTAAAATATTCATGATCGAAGCCTTAGTAGAGGGCTAGACGCCTAAAAAATCGATAATTTACTACCTATGTAACTACATATAGGTATCATACTGCTAGCTACCCTAGCTGTTTTAATTAGGTATGTATAAAATGTTATTGTTTTCTTAACAGAATTAACTTCCCAGTGAAGCTGAGTTTTAATCATAAAATAAACTCAAAATATCTTTAAGTTGGAAAATAGGTGCAGTGATAGGAATTGGAATGGATCTTCATTATTAAAAGAAATTGTCTCTACATACCTTTTCACTGTTCCCACTTCGAATATTCACTGATTTTCAACAATATTACACTCAATTTACCTTGAAAACTAGTATGATATTTTATTCTTTAAATTATCAATGGCTGGCAATGTGCACTAGGTATTCCGAATACTAGGTAAAACTGTCATGTAGTGTTTATGTTTATGTCTATTGCAAAGTGCAATCAATCAATAAATTCACTAGAGATGTCACCTCTATCGTCTAAAATCCAATATAGTTATTATTCGATTAGGTTGACAACTTACTAATATAAAAAGATTTACAACACTTAATTCTGGAAAAAAAAGTCGATTTTAATAGCAAATGACTCTTGACATGAGTTTCAGACTCTTTGTTTTAGTTGATTTTATCTTCATGCATGATCAACCTTTTATTCGAATGAATATAATTTAATTTTTTAAAATATAGCAGAGGTGGATTTATGCTAGAGAGCATATTTATGCATACATCATAGGCTTCTCCTAATTTCTTTTGACACCACTGCCACTCTGTAGGCAGTTAAACAAGCACATCCCGCGGTGCCCTCTTTAACCTGGTTATCGTTATGTACTTACTTTACACTTGCCTAGGTTTATCTCAGGGATAATATGGCTCTGTAATATAGTTAGGGCAGAAGATCAGCCACGTAAGTTCAAGAGTAATTTTAATCGAATAAGATTCGTTTGCCCAAAAAACATAAACATTATTCCAAACTATTTTGTCTGTGGTACTTGAACTATAAACTATAGAAGTAAATCGTAAACAGATAAAATAGTAAGAAAGCAGCACAGAGCATGTAATTGAAAGCAGCAGAAAAGAATTTTACACGCTGAAAAAGAATCTGAATGATATGATTGGCTAATAAAACGATCTAGCCAATCATAATAAAATACGCTGATAACAGACAGAATATTTATTCAATCAAATCAAAAATCAAGTACAACTGCTGACTGCTCAACAGCAAGAAAGGCAAATTACTCCAATGTTGTGAATGTGAAACGAATTTTATATTTTGTAAAGTACGTGAAAAGTAACAACAAAGTTTAGTATTTAGTGTAATATTATTTGCATAAATTGGGTTAGGAGTAATTTTTTAAGAAATACAAAGCTGCTAGTGTCATTTTAGTCATGTGTATTGAAGTGTTTACGGCGTCTACACTCGAGAGTTCTAACGTGTCTTCATTTGAAATATGGCTTATTACAATGCCGGTAATGTTGTAGCTGTAGCTAACCCAACTGAACAACTAGAAGATACAAATAGTACAGACGATCTTACTATAATACCTTTAGAAAAAGATAGTTTCGGTGAGTATTTGTGCTGATAATGAAAGCATAGAATATAAAGATTATTATTAAGCGTTATTATTGCAGCAATATGCGAATTGTGCGGTCGCGTTGGCCGTCGGGGACAATTCTACCCAAGAAACAATAAGTTTTGTTCGCTTAGATGTCACGCGAGTAATACTAGAAGACGACATTGTAATTGGAGGTTCAGACTGATGGAAGGTGCCGAACACATGGCGGGTATGATACCGTTGGAGCCACTGCCACAGCTGCAGCACTGGCAGTCTACAATAAACGATTTGCAGGTACCTCACTAAACATTCATATTTTCCATCAATAATAACCTCTAACAGTTATGTTTACTAACTGTTCAAGTTCATAGTAGAGTACATTTACCCTGTGAATGCATTATTTTAGTGTAGGTAGATGATTCGTGAGTATAAATTGCTATATTTGTTTGTGCTGCCTGTTAAAATATTGTTTACAATTGTAATTTTACATATATTTTCTATATGTGTGTGTTTATTGTGGTTTGTTTTAGGCTGGACCAATAAAACAATCAGCTGCTTTAGTAGCAAACAGTTATGAGTGGAAGGATGAATTATTTGGTTGTGATTTCCTTGCTGCTCCAGTGAGTTTATTCAAGCATGCTCCCTTACATGAAATGTGGGACAGCACCTTTGAGGGTATGAAAGTAGAAGTAAAAAATACAGACTGCGAAAACTATTCGGACAAACTTAGTGACTATTTCTGGGTAGCTACAGTATTAAAAGTAAGTATTTTTTAAGATTTTTTTACAAATGTTGCCCCACACTAGTATTTTCTCCTGTCTTGGTTGCATTTATAAACATACAAATTGACATACACATGATACAACCAACAGAACCAACCGTATAGTTGTTTTGGATTGGATTACTGAAGATAAAATGTTATTAAATTTTATTCCAATAATAACTATATTCATAGCAGTTGCAGACATAAGTTTACTACTATTGATAGCTCACTTATAGTTATAGTTAGCTAAACCTTTAGTTCAGCAGTTTATTACCCACTTAAGGAGGTTTTAATCCTTATGTACTTATTAAAGAACATGTCAATAAAGTGTAATATGAAATGTCACATTTAAATCTAATTTCCAGGTAAAAGGATACATGGGTCTTCTACGCTATGAAGGTTTTGGCAGTGATGATTCTAAAGATTTTTGGGTGAATCTTTGTTGCTCAGAAGTGCACCCTGTTGGCTGGTGTGCAACTAGAGGGAAGCCTCTAATACCACCTCGTAGTATTGAGGATAAATATACTGATTGGAAAAAGTAAGTTTTTAACTATATTTTGGTAAACTGTGTTGGAAAGAAATAGAAAAAAAACCATTTGTGTGACATGAAGCATGATGTACAAAATGCAACAAGAGTACACATCAAAAGAGTTTAAATAAGTCTTTTTTCTCTGCATCTAGTAGCTACAAGAGTGATGTCACTGATATCCTGAGACCTGATATCACTATAGTTTCAAGATACTAAAATCTTATTTGTTATTTTTGGTTTTAGAATTTCTCAATGGTAGTGTTTAGAATGGTGCTTGGTGTATAAATGTCAATAGGGCAACCTCCTATTTCATGTATCATACATAAATACTTTTTCTATTTTCAGATTTCTTGTAAAGCAGCTAACTGGCGCACGAACTCTGCCCGCGAATTTCTACACAAAATTAAATGATAGTCTCGCATCTAGGTTTTCTATTGGTGTCCTTATGGAAATTGTTGATAAGAATAGAATTTCACAAGTCAAGGTAAGATTTACAAAAACTTCTTTTGTTACAAGCAGTTTTATCAGATTTTCTTCTGTTGTATTTAATACTAGCGACCCGCCCCGGCTTCGCACGGGTGCAATATGCATGTATTATACATACAAACCTTCCTTAAGAATCACTCTATCTACTAAAAAAAACCGCATCAAAATCCGTTGCGTAGTTTTAAAGATCTAAGCATACATACGGACATACAGCGAAAGCGACTTTGTTTTATACTATGTATTGATTGATGACAATTTCGATTACAGGTAGCTACAGTATGTGAAATAGTAGGCAAACGATTACACGTAAAATATTACGACAGTACACCAGAGGACAATGGTTTCTGGTGCCACGAGGACTCTCCACTAATACACCCTGTAGGCTGGGCCTTCAGAATTGGACATCCTTTAGACGCGCCTCCTAGTTATTTACAAAGAGTAGCTGCTGGTCGGCTTATACCAACTGATAGTACACCAGACATGTTCTATAAGTACCCAAGTAATGAGCCGCCCTTATTTGCGCAAGGAATGAAGTTAGAAGCCATTGATCCTCTTAATTTATCAGCTGTTTGTGCTGCGACTGTGATGCAGATACTGAATGAAGGGTATATGATGATCAGAATAGACTGTTACCCTGCAGATGCATCTGGTGCTGATTGGTTCTGCTATCATCAAAGATCGCCGTGTATATTCCCTGTTGGCTTTGCGCAGGCTAATAATATACCTCTTGTACCTCCTGCTGGGTGAGTTCTCTTTGTTTAATATTTGTTTAACACTGATTGGTTTAAAATTCGACCCAAAATATAATTAATCTCACATCAACATCAACATATGACTTGATCAAGTGAGTAGTTCAATATCAGGGGGCTTACTCTTGAATCCAATTACGATCAATCAACATTGATATTGTGACATTTCATACTCTTGAGTTGCAACACTATGTACATCGCATCTATATTGCGTGGAGTTTAATCTCCATGAACTGAATGGTATTAAGTTTTGATTTAAATGACATACTTTAGATGCTATTTTAACAGCTAGGATTGGGGTTGTATAGTGTTGACATTAAATAATTATTGCATTTTTATTGAGATTAGTTTCAAGAGTAAAGCCCAGATGAGATGTGTAACTGCTGAGTAAAGATCTTGGATTGGTTTTTCGACAGAGTCTAGTATTTTCGAAATTCTAAGTAGTTAGTTATTAGCACAGGATAGGTGCTCCGTTTGCTCAGTCACGGTGTATAGCAATTTTATCCCTGCAAAGAGGTATTAAAGGACTGCTTATTTATGCAACCAGGATTACAGTGGAGGAGTTTAGTTGGGAGCAATACTTGGCGGTTTCTGGTGGACAGCCAGCCGATCGTTCGTTGTTCGCGGCGAGAGGTCACGTGGTATCACACGGGTTCGTGGCCGGCATGAGATTGGAGTGCGCGGATCTCATGGACCCACGACTAGTCTGCGTTGCTACTGTTGCTAGAGTTGTTGCTGATTTACTAAAGGTACCTTTTTACCGAAATTTTTACCTAATTTATTGCCAAGAACCCGTATTTGATAATGATTTCATATTAATTATACTGGACTTGTTGTAACTTTGAACCTGATTTAAGTTAAAAACAACGTCATAGTCAATGTGCCTGTTTTTGGAGGAACAAAAAGAACAGTTATATAAGATGTCGATTTTACCTACCTTTGTATTCCAATAAGACCGACATATGGATTAAGAATAATCCGAGAGCTTTCACATCGGCAAGAACTAAAAGAAACGAGACAAGACACTTTCTAATTAACGATTCTTCATATTTGTATACAATAGCAACAGTTATTAATGAATATTGTTGCAGGTTCACTTCGACGGTTGGGGCATGGAGTACGACCAATGGTTATGGGCGCACAGTACGGACGTGTACCCCGTGGGTTGGTGCCGCGCGGTGGGTCATAGGCTTGAAGGTCCGCTACAACCGCCGCCCCGTCCCCCGCGCAAACATCCTCCAAAACAACCGAGACGAAGACGTAAACAACAAGGTATGCGTAATGGTTTAACATGCAAGAAGATAAAAAAGACATAACATAACATCACGCCTTTTTATCCCCGAAGGGGTAGGCAGAGGTGCACATTACGGCACTTAATGCCACTGTACAAT